ATTGGATACGGAGGGTGGTTCAGATTATCGTCATGCAGGACTTTAGAGAATGCTTAATCTTGACTTTTATGAGAGAGAGAAAGAGTGCTAAAGAGAAAGAGAGAGACACATAAAGAAAGGCACAAAGAGACGGAATGCAGAAAAGGAAAGAAGAAGTGAAGCCCAGTAGCAGATTTGCATTATTTACAGAGCTTGTGTGTTCTCTATCTCCATACAAACAGATTACTGACACAGGGCTGAAACCGATGAGACACATAATCATACATGAGGCGCCCCACCAGCTCCACACAGAACGAGCCAAATACAATATCATCCCACAAAGGCTCATATAAATAATAATCATTGGATAATAGGTGGCAGTGGTATTACCTACACAGATTCCCCACCCCACAACCCCAGCCACCACCACCCCACCCCCATCTATCTGCATTTGTGCTGGGAGTTAGGGAAGAATTTAATCCTGCTTCTCACCACATAAGCGATATCGCTCGACCAGGAGGAGGCCATGTCTCAAATTCAAATAGTTTACACAATAGAACGATTTGAACCGCAGTTTAGCAAGATACATGTATTTTTTCTGTGTATTCATCTTCATCCTGGCTGGTTTGTTAGCCAACATGTATCAAATGTATACATCAAATTATACATCGGTTATGAAAAATATGTATATATAATTATTATTATAAATATTTAAAGTTTACCGATCTTACAAAATAAAAATACATCATTATTATCACTTTGTAGTGGTGGTGATCTATCTAAAGAAAACAACAACTATGAAACAAGACAAAACATATTTGGTAATCCCTGTGCGTGTAACCTAGAAAGAAATGCTGCTTCGACGAATATCAGCTGGACAGATGTAACAGTCGTGCTCTCAAACACTACGTGTAAATCTCTCACAAGTGGCTCCCCTGACTGTCTAACCCGTTGTCTAATTCTTTTCACACGTGATGCATTTAGACATGCGCTACGCATACAAAACATGTATTAATAGTCTGACATGACATGTTCATGAATTTAGATTGTAGTTTACTGTAATTCGCTCCCTGAGGGCGCTTTGCCCAGGACAGTTTTAGTATTTCCCATCAGGATATTTCATGGCCTTCCTCATCAAGATATGAACAATTAACAAACAAATATTACATAATAATTACAATAACATTCCCTTCTCATGCAGGCTTTAGTTTTATTAGAAATACATGCTTGGCTTGCATATTTTCTGGCTGTGCAGCTGGTAGCCAGGGGGAGATCAATGGTTAAATTCTGTTGTTGATTGTTTGGTGGGTAGAGAAAATGTCTTAATTAGTTTGCTCATGTAGCTACTACTCATATTTCTGAAATGCATCCCCCCAAATCACCTCCAGCCTTGTCCCGAGAGCAACTCCAAGCATCTCTGTGTGACTGCAGGCTTCAAAAGGTGCAGCAATCTTCAGTATCAGGCTGCATAACCATTGCAGAAAGACAATATGATATTCAAGGCAGCACAAATGTATCCTGATAATTGCAAAATGATGTTAAGTGCTTTCTTTCTCTTTTTCTTCCCTTTATTGCAGTGTGGGGATGAGTTTGATTAAGACTGGGGGGCAAAAAGCAAACCAATCATCAGGAAAAAAAGGCACATTAATGAGTGCGTAAGGCTGAATTAATTGGTGCAGAGTGAACAACTTAATGAAGACATATGTAGGACAACAAAAACCCCATAAATCTGGCCGAGCTTCTGTAATGTTGGAGAATTACATTATCGTATACCTTTACTTTTTTCTGTACACTTAAGAAAATCCATGTGTTGAATCAGCCCAATCAAGGAAACAGATTTACTGCGATTCTTAACTTCAGTCTCACTTTGTGCTGTCTTTCAGTGTCAGGAAGAGAAACACCCTTGTTTAATAGAGCAACCACAGTAAGCTAGAGAGTAGTTAGAAATATAGACAGGTACCCAGAGACTCAGGAAGACACTCAAACAGTCAGGCTATTACAGTAGATAGATAGGTATTCAATCAAAAAGATAAAGGTGTTTCCTCTATCCTATAGCAGTGGAACTGGGGATTTAGCCCTGGGTCTCCAACATATTGTCTTATTGACTCTGAGAGCTTCAGCTTGGTTTCAGGCGATTGTTGCTATCAGCTCATCAAAACAGTAGGGAGAAACTCTGCGGGAAGATCAGGATGCATTCTGGGTCAACAAGGCTAAATGCTCAGGCACACATCCTGTTGGACATCACAGCAGAAGTATTAGTTGCTAGGATGCATTCCTGAGATGGATTGGCAGAAATGCAGCAAAATAAGAGATGAGACATGACATGCAGTATACACATACAGGCACACAAGTGCACACAGAAAGAGCATGCTCAAAAGCCCTCGACATATATAAACATTTACAAATATGGCTCATGCTTGCTATTAATGAGGTCCTCATCGCATGGCTTCAGCATCAATTAAATTACCAGATTGCTTTATCAAAAGGTCACTAATTTCAATCTTTGTGTAAGAGCAGGGGCGGGTGGGGAATGTCAGTGCTACTCAGCTGGCCCCTTGCAATTTCTTTTACGCATCAATCATAGTTTCATTTCCAATCAATCTAAGAGAAATGGATGCTTCGCAGGTAAAGCGTAGAGAATGGCACTGCACAGTTTATCTAATTCCACTTACACTGTGTCACCATTCACCGATCTGCCGTTAGAAGAAATAAAATATATATTCAGTAACTGGTTTAAAATGCTAAAGAATAAAAGAGATGGCAATGGTATCAAAAACATCTAACAACAACATGTACCATGGAATGCAATAAAAATCATACAATTATTAAACAGTGCAAGGTTGTGAAAAATACCATTTTTTTCTTAGTTTTTTTTATTGCGTGTTACTCTAAAGTTATTGTTATTATACGGTTTTTGAGGGCTAATTTTCAATTTTTAAGTGTAAAAACATAATAAGGAGTAACACATACACACTGTTAAAGTAAAAGATAAAAAACTGCCATTGTGATATGATGTATTATCAACTGCCACAGCTGAAAAAGGAATCAAGAAAGTGCAAAAAAAAAAAAAAAAAAAGTAGTTTCTGGAACTGCCACTTGGGGCTGATGCTAAATGTGAAAACTCCCCATCATTAGAATCTTAGCTTTCTAGCAGAAATAAGCATGTTTACAGTCTGGTACAAACTGTATAACTAACTGTATAACTAAAAAAAACACACAAATGGAAAATTCCTGTGTCTGGTTTTAAGACACTGCTCATGCTGCCACCCAGTGCCGTGTCAATCACTGTGCTTTGAGCCACTTGCTTGCCGACAGTAGATGTCAGGACAGCAAATCTCTGCATTTGCTCTACAAATAGGTGATCTCCCCTCCAATCCATCATCTGCTGCTACCACGCAGTTCCATCCGTGCCCTACAGTCCCCAGTGTTGTCAATGAGATGCAGTGAGGATGCAGAAATGTAGTTTATCTGCATAGTCTGTTTTCGTAAGAGCGAAATGCAATGTTTTTTTTCGCTTTAGTGCATTTATTTGTATAATTGTGTAGATATTCATCACATACAAGAGCAGAAGAAGAAAGAGAAAATAAATTTACTGTGTACATGTTTTTTCCACATAACACTTGTTGAGAGGGATTTGTCCCTGCAGGAGAGAGGTCAGAGTGGAACTTCTATGCCTCTAATAGCATCATGGACCAAATGAAAGAGATCATACCATTATAACATATTCTTCCATAGTCTTGTATTATACAGTATCTTTGTAACTTAAGAGTAAATATAAAGATTTTTAAAAATATTTTCTGTAATGTTTAGAGGAACATAGCAACCTTTAGTAAAGAGTGGGTGGCTATTAAGTCTTGTTCAACATAAAGGAGTCGGCTGTTCAGTTTCTTCAAGTGAATTTTTAATAATTTAGTTTTTGCCTGTGAAAATTAGCATCCCTATGAATATCACAGTGAATTACCAATACACATTTCTACCCAAAATCATTAATCGTTATTTATCAGTACTGACACACCAAATTTCAGTATCCTAAGATATAATCTCCACCAGTAAGCAAAAGACCATGGCTTAACTTTAGCTTCAGAATTATTGCTTACGGGGATATGAAAAATGCATACTTTTATACACTGTAGGGATAACTACTGTAGCACTTTGGTCAACATCTGAGTTCTTAGAAATGTAATAAAGCCATTCACTACCACATTAAAATGACACTTCTTTAATACGGCTTCCATAGTGTGAAATGCATCCCATCATGCATCACAAACTTTAGATTTTCTATGAGGTCCGTAGATGGGGCACCTCCCACAAGAATTGCATGCAATTTTAACACTGTTAATGCAGTCCCCAAGCAAAACGGTGGTACCCATTCAAATGCAATTGCACTTTTATGTGTTTAACTATTGACCTGAAAAGAACAACTGCATTAATTTGACTACATGGTGCTTCATGAGAGCTACAACAGAGAGATG